TGCCAGACCTGCTGAGCTTTTCCAGCAACTTCTGTTTTTGCTCCTGATTTACAGCATTCGCAGTTCTTTCAGCTTTTATGACCACCTTCCTGTCAAGTATGACTCTAACCACCAAAAGAGTTTGCCCCCTGATACCCATTGATTCCAGTTTTGCTAGGGTTCCTTGATGCCACACTGGGTCAAATGCAGCCTTGATATCAAGAGCTGTCACTCTCACCTCCCCTCTGGAATTCAGCTCTTTTGTCCATGTTTGAACCAAGGCTGTAAATGAGGGTCAGGAGCCGATTGGCCCTGACGGAACCCAAACCGGGCACCAGTGAGCGGGTTATTGCAAAGCAGTAAGCTCAAAACTTGATCATCACATGGCTTTCAAATGACAATTACCATGAAATAAGTTACGTAATTTACTCGGCTCCTCTCCCTCTCCGTGGGTAAAGATGCAAGTACTTCCAATGCCAAGAAATTTATTCTAAAATAATTTCAGAGTGAAATAAAATTAAAATTTAATAAGTAAGAAATAATTGTGAAGAACTGAACCCTGATCAAGGAGTTTCGTTTTTTTTTGCTTCAAAATGATTCGATTCACTTTAAATTTTGAAAAAAAAATGGTCTTTTATCTGCCGCTCTCTGTAAATCGGTCACGTCATTGCTCGCAATAGAAAATGCTTAAGATGACTACACAGTAATTGGTTGCTTGATTTTTCAATGACATTACAGCTTTGCTGTGCCACCCTCTAGCCTTAGCAACCTGCTACATTTCAAAGCACATTGGGAATTAGAGTTCATCTCCATAACATCCAAATCAGCGCTGGAGCAGCGCTGTGAAGGACTTTGTCACTCTCCAGGGGCTTCTGCGTTGTTGCTTCTGCTGTTTGCATTGTGAAGGGTGGGATGCGCTCGCTGCTGTTCCCTTCCACCTCAGTCAGTGACTGGGAAATGCTGGAGGGAGACTACAAATCCCAGGCTCCAGAGGCACATGCGCCGTGCTGCCCTGTGCAGGTCGGAGCGGAGCGACAGTAGCGGTGGAGAGAATTCTGTATGGGGGAAGAGTTCCTCAGCTCAGGACATGACTGGAGGCACACTAAATGGATACTGTTGGGATTAAATAGCCGCTGATATAATGGCAGTGGAAGGTGAGGTTGTTCGGTTATTTTGTTTTATTGAAAAGCAGGATTAATTGACTTCCTTTTAGCTAAAGCAGGGAAAGACAACTCCAGCTGATGAACCCGCTGACTGGAGCTAGCTTTCTGTGTGTCTCTGCTCGCCTCTCATTCAGATTTAATGGCACGTTTGCTGCATGCTCCAGGAGAGATGTCAGCGTGAGCTTTAATGTTGCTCTGTGTTTGGAGCACCAGCAAGCTAAAGATGGAATTATTTTCCTTCAAAGAGCAAAGTCAGCTATTCGAAAATTTATGGCAGTGTTGTTAAACTCTGGGTTGTAAACGTGTTCGTCCAGTCCAGGTAGTTAGCATAGGGCAGAATTGTATCTTTGGCGCTGCGATGTTTCTTCAACCTTCATTGACAATGCTTGGCAAATCTTTTATGGTGGGGATTGTCGATGTTGTACATTATTTACGTGCTTTGTGAAATGACCTTGCTGCCAGTGTTTGTTTATAAATAAAACCAGGTTTGCTAAATATTTTAAAGGGGATAGCGACCCTTTTAATGCAGTGGAAAGTCATTGAAAGACCAAAAGGGATGTGTTAGCTACCTATTTATTTCAGTTCATTACCACTTTTGAATCCCCTCTTTTTAACTGTTAAAATTGTGAGGATCTTCTGTTTGAACATAAGTGGTATACCTAGAAGACCTTAACCTGTTTATGTGCAGCAATTTGCTGCAACCTGTTATGTCTTTTAAAGTTTAAAAAAAGGTTAAATTATCGACTTTTTTTTTGTAATGTCTTTTATCAGTCTACTGAATCAAGTATATCTTCTCCCCATTCTAACATTGCACCTCCTGTGAGGTGGGCTCAGTCTGTGCCCTGACACGGCTCTGTTCTTTTAGGGGAACAGAACTCAAAAGCTGAGAAAATTGTATAGATTCTTGATTAGACCAAAAATCATTGAGGACTGTGCAGATGAGGCAATCTGCAGTTTGTGGGGTAGGGGGAAAGCAAATATCTACTAGCTGGGCACTGATCCTGTTAAAACTGGTAGTGCTTATTTCCTGAATTGGGTGACCCTGGATTGGCATTCTGCTGCCCTCTACTCTAAACAATATAATCAAAAATCTGTGGACTTAAGTGTTCTAGCTAGCACTGCCACCAACACACACACATCACTTAACACTAATGTCTTTGAGTTGGAAATATGTGGATCCCAGATTGTAGCCTAAATCTAAGATATACTCTTATGTAATACTTGGGAAACACTATTTTATACGTGCCATCTGTTGTTTAAGTTTTTAAATTGTTTCTCTAATGGATGATAAAGATTCCACGTCACTGTTTAAGGAATAGAAAGTTTTGTGTTCTGCACCACATTCCTTCTCTTTGTTTATCTAAGGCAGATAGGCCATTCATCTTGCTTTTATGATATCTAAATCATGATTAGATTTTCTATGTAAGCCATTCCATTTTCACTTTTTAAAAATTTATTCTTGGCATGTTGGTGATGTGACAAAGCAACATCTAAAGTAAGATAGGAATAGAAGGTGGATGTGATCCATTTCATTAAACCACTGAAGTCTCTGATGCTCCCATAATAGTTTTACATACAGAATTGAGGAAATGAGCAATATTGACATCTGGAAAGTGTCTCTTATGGGGACACTATCACCTCCAGCTTTCCTGCTGCTGTTCCTGGTGATAAGTAGTCACAGTGGAGGGCACAGCTGGAATAACCTTGTTGAGTCACTGCTTTGCATTCTGTGACAATTATAGTGTAGGGGTGGTGTAGGGGTGAGTATTGGATTCAATAGTCATTGGTAGTTCAAGTGAGTAGCTCTCTTTTGGGTGGTATTTAGTTTCATGATGTTGCCGCAGGATGTAAATATTCAGTCACGTGCTTGACTTAATCCTTATAGATGCAGGAATGTTTGAAGCAATAACGCCCTAAAGCCAACTATTGAATTTCACGTGCAATTATATTTTAAATTAAACCTTATTCTGAAAATGTAAAGCTGATATGTACATGTAATGCTATTTTGACCAAACTCTTTTTTTCCCCTTTCTTTCTCTGCATTTTCTCCCTGTTATGTGGGGTCACCTTCATACGATCATCTTCATATCAACAATCATTCTTTTGGATTTTACTGGGTGGCTTTCCAGCTAGCTGTCCTCCTGCCTCAAAATCTCCCATTTATCTAGCTAAGGACTGGAACCAATGCACACAGACTTGCCCTCACTAAAGACAAGGTCTTTTGTAGCCTCTTTCTGAAGTTGGATTTGAACCTCTGGCCACTCTGGCACCCTGTTTAGGAAGTAAAGTCACTAAAACCAGACATGGTAATCTTGCTATTATGTGCAAAATAGTAAACTAATTTATGAGTAAGTTTTAAAGATTGATCTGTCTGATTTTATTGAATGTGTTAGATATTAAAAGTCTTTAGATACTTTCTGGTTGTAGGTCGGGTACTAGGAGAAAATAAGTGAAGAAGGAACTTTCTAGACTGAGTCTCATATACATTTAATTTTTTGACACTTTTTTTTCCATCGAGATCATTTTTGCACTTAGTGCCATTTTGCACTTGGAGACTGTAGAACTGCTGGTAGGGGTTTTTCGTGTTTTTTTTTTCAAAATTCTTGTACATTGTTTCTGGTTCTGCTTTTTTTTAAACAGTAAGAAACTAGCTGAAATTTATGATGAGCAATTCTACTGGACTGACCTTTACAAAGTGTATCAACTGACCTGCCATTTTAAGTCTATAACATTGAACCAGTATGCTGTGAAAATTGTATTTTTGATGCTCAAAATATTGATTGGGAAAGCTTTCCAGTATTTAAACTAGTGCTTTACAAACGTTTTCTCATTGTGACTGTGTGGTGAGGCTTAAAAATTGTTCCAACCTCTCCAGTGAGACTCGAGAGAGCTGGGGTAGATAGAGAGGGAAGTTAAATGCAGAGCGGTAGGGTGGAAGGCGGGGATGTGGTAAGGGATAGATATCAAGAGTGGAAATGGGATGGGGCGGAGACTAGAGAGTTGGTGTGGCACAGAGAGTGGAGGGAAGCTAGGCAGAGTAGCAAATGAGGAGGGGACAGCGTCAGTGAGGGGACAGTAGGGAACTCCAAAAACTGGTACCTATTACAGTAGAAGAGCAGCTGTTGAAACTTGGTCAAAATTCCAAGGGAGCCATTGCTGAATCTAAGCTCCTGATCCCAAAATTTCAGTTCATAGCTGGAGTCCTGATACCCAATTTTGGAAGCCCTAATTAAAACAGACCCACTAAGCCTACAAGGCGCAAAAATATGTCTGAAAATTGTTTGCGTTTTTAACAAGTATCTTGCCTCCATAACTTTATACTTTCTATTCTATCAATTCGCTCTGAAGTAAAGTGGGATTATGTGCTGAGGGGATGTAAAGTCTTTTAATCTTGTACACACATCAGGATACATTCTTAAATTACTGCCATTCTACTCAGAATGAGAGAATTGTTCTGATCCCAGCTGATGGTAATACTGGACTAGTCAGGTTCCGAAGTGAAATCTGGCTTGATAGCCCGTAAGTTTTATTTTTGCAGTTTGGTCACTCTGGCAGTCAGGCACTGAATACAGGATTACAAGATACAGGAGCAGAATTAGGCCACTCAGCCCATTGAGTCTGCTCTGCCATTCAGTCATGGCTGACATGTTTCTCAAGCTCTAATCTCCTGCCTTCTCACCATAACCTTTTGATCCACTTACCAAGCAAAAACCTATATGGCTCTGTCTTAAATACACTTAGTGACTTGGCCTTCACAGCCCTCTGTGAGTTCCATAGATTAACCACCCTCTGGCTGATGAAATTTCTCCTCATCTCAGTTTGAAAGGGCCGTCTCTTCACTCTGAGGCTGTGCCTTCAGGTCCTGGTCTCTCTTACTAATGGAAACATCTTCTCCACATCCACTTTATCCAGGTCTTTCAGTATTCTGTAAGTTTCCATCAGATACCCCCTTCGCCCTTCTAAAGAAGCTGCAATCTACTTTTACAAAAGAGTATCAAAGTTTATTCCATATGTGTGAAAAGTCACATACTATTATGCACTATTAAAAAAACTATGTGAAACTGCCTTATTACAAATATCAGAAATAAAGATTTGCCCTACTTGCCTTCAACAACAACCTTAAGGTACTCAAACCTCAGTGAAGGGTCATCTTAGTTTTACTTTCAAGTTTCTCGTCCTGTAGCATGGCTGTACTTGGATTCCTTCTGGATAATGTCTGCATTCACTTGATGCTCTCTTCTTTAATTAGTATCTATTCACAAGATCCTTAAACTGACAACACAGCTCACTTACTTTTTAACATGCATCCTTAAATGTCTCTTCAGCCTTTGTTGCTGGAGCTTTCTCTTACTGATATTATAAACGTCTAGGCCTGCATTTCTCCTGCTACCCTTACAGGCCATTTCTCCATGAATGACTTGCTTCTATATGAAATAAACCAGCATACTTATTGCCCTTCTGGATGGTTCTGTCTTTCAAACCAAACTGGTTTCTGATTCCATCTCCCTCTGCCATAGGATACCTTATTGCTAGGAAATAGCCTCAATTTCTTTTCTCCTAATCTTTCTTTATCTAAAGCACTGAACTGTTCAACTTGAGGGTTTTTTTTAAAGCATGACTTTAAATGAATTTAAACAAATTTCCAGGCAATCCCTGCTCATGCATTCACTGAGTGTGTCTTCTTTAACGTACATAATACAGAAATACAAATCAAACCTAAGGATAATAATGGTTCTTTTCATTTTAGATCCCAAGTTTCCAAGTAATAAGAACATATCTTGAATTTTTATCATAGACCTATCCTAGCTAGGTTTGTAACTGCTTTCTTGCTTTGAAAACCATCTCCTGTAGAGTGGAATTGCCTTTTTTGTACAAAATATTTTTGAAATTATGCTGGTATGATTACAGGTCAAGTTTCTGCTAAGAGTACTTTTTATGATCACAAATGTAAAATCCTGAACCTGCAGAATAGAAATTGTAACAAAAACAGA